TATTATTGTAAGCCGCCCTGAGTCCCCTCAGGGAAAAGGGCGGCCTATAAATGTTTAATAAAACTAAAAACTAAAACTAAAACCCCTATGTTTGCTAACAACACCAAAATCATTGTTAAAATAAGTAGATAAATTCCAGTGAATGTTTGCATTACATAACGCCCATCTGTAACTGATAAGGAAGTGCTGACAGCTACTGTATATATTACAAGTGATTCTTTGTCAATGCAACTTAAAAGTTACATTAGGAATAATAAGAACAGTCATATTAATGATCTGTGTTATACTGTTAGTATTATACAAGCTGTTGTATTAAGTCCTCATAAATTATCTTATTTTATCTATAAACAGTCATAAAACTCACAGTGTTCATTGTGAAAATTCATCCATAGGGGAACTGACATATATGTAAGTTTTCTTTATAACTTGCAGGTGCCATAACGTTAACAACACAAGCCTAAGAAGCATTATTTTACCAGGTCTAGAGTAGCAAGATACATCAGGAGAGAAGTAGAAGAAAATGTCTTGAATTTGAACATGACCATGGAGATATTGGGGTTCCATCTTATGGGACGGCTCACGGTAGCATAACCTTCTCCATCAAACTGAACAGTTCCCTCACCATCTGCCACCTGGGGGCTGTGATGTGAAGAAACAAAAAATAATCAAATTTGAAAACTATTAGATATCAGAACTTTGTAAATCATCTAACAGCTGATTAAAATCATCATTTCAGTTAGAATTATTGCGACAAAGATGAGTCTACCAGAATCATTCATTCAAATTGATTGGTATAGATGATTAGAATCACATTTTATGTAATGTAACAATCGCATAACATGCAAAAGTCCACTGAATCATTTTAGCAAGAAAATTTTTATTCAATCATCAATTTAATTTGATGTAGTATATCAAGTACATGAACCAAAAACCTATCAATTTATTGATTTGAAGAAATACAATTTAATTTCCTGCATTCAGGGAATCAGATAGCTAAATGAAGTAGAAATACAAAGCTCTGAATCAAAATTTCACACAGCTCATATGTGATATGAGTCCTTGCTGATATACATATTATATATGTTATATTTGCATCCATATACTGACATGCACGAGATGATAAATGTGGACATATATGTTATAATGTCATCACACAAATGACATATATTTGCAAGATTTGTCATGTTGTCATTAGGTAGCTGCATAATTTGCATGATGTCATGATGCAAATACCACAATTCTAATATCATCATGTATTGATACTGTTTCTGCAGTATCTATTTGTTGTATGTATGTATGTATGTATGTATGTATGTATGTACAGTATGTATGTATGTATGTATGTGTGTATATATCAATGGTTAACATATCTGCCTTAGAGGCAATACAGCACAGGCTCGATTCCCAGTAAGGGTATGGCTAGCTGATGAGAGCTAAATAGCTTGAAATAGATCTATACTAGTNCTTTTATTACATAGCAAAATGTTTCTTTTTATATCTATATGCTAACTGTCACATTAGTCTCAATTGCAGTTTCCTGGTATTGACTCATTTTCCAACCTACTTTTATCCGTCACACAGAACAATACAAGCATAAATTGTCCAGAATCCAAAATCAAGGGAATAAGATGTTTTCTTAGCTTGCCCATAATTGTTTTTCATCACTTTTGGCTCTTCAGTTCTAAATCCATCCTATCTTTTTGTGTATCGACTGGTAAAGTTCTAGTTAGTCACCAAAATATTTCACCCAAACTTACAGGAAATCTATGCTTAACTCACGAGGGAGAGAACCAACCTAGAACTAAGGAGAAATTTCCTGAAAATGAGAACAATTAACCAGTAGAACAGCCTCCAAAAGTTGTTATTGGTCCTTCTAACTCTATTATTGTTATTCTGTTACTTTAAAAAAGGGAAAAATGCATATATACTTAAGTATCAGTAGCTCTAATGAAATTCATAATAGACAGCCTAAGAATATGTGGATCATTTGAATGCCCATCATAACTTTTTAGGAGTGACAATTTAATTATAATGGCAAAACTTAAAACACCTGCCCATTTCTCTGTTAGCAGCATATTTTCCCCCTCATATCATCTCCTAATTGCTAGTTTCAAATCATATTTTCTTATGATTATCTCTTATTATCTTAAGAGCCACAGTAGCTCAGTAGTTAGAGTGCAGTACTGCAGGCTACTTCTGCTTATCTCTGTAATACTCCAGGCAGCATACTACCACAAGAAGAACAAGCATTGGGAAAAATGCTTCCTTAACTTAAATACTAATTTTTGCTTTGTTGCTCACTTGGAAATTTTGAATGTCACAGTGCAACAGTGAGAGAGTGGCTGAGAGGACATTGCTGAATTTCAGTGCATTAAAATCATCCAACACAATCCAATACCAATTAAATTTTCAGATATGTATGGAGAAGCATGGATGGAGCAACACACCCCTTAAATATGGCAATAAACTGTTCAAGGAGCCGGCTCATTACTGTAGCCACAACACTCACGGGAAATGTAGAATAACAGTATAACAGAGTTGGAAGGCCTTTGGAAGTCTTCTAGTCCAACTCCCTGATCAAGCAGGTGATCCTATACAATTACCAGATAAATGGTTGTCCAATATCTTCTTAAAATCCTGCGGAGTTAGAGCACTCACAGCTTCTGAAGGAAGCCTCGTAATTGTTCTAAATATCAGGGATTTTCTGCTCCATTTTAGGTTATTTCTCTACTTGATAAATGTTGCTCTTGTTCTCCCTTCAGGTGATTTGAACAATAGGTTGACCTCATCTAAATTGTGGCAAACTGTTAGATGCTGAAAGCTATGGTAATACTAGTATTATTTAAGACAGGGGACCCCCAACATGTGGTCCATGACCTGTTAATGGTCCGGAGCCTTTTAAGAAACTGACTCAACTCATGCAAGCACAAAGCTGCATTTGTGAAAGCAGAACATCTATGCGCCAAACCATCCCCTCCCCCCACACTGCCTTCACCCCCTTTGCTGGTCCCCTGTGCACTGATTTAGGAGAAAGGAATGATTGAATCCACTGTTTTTTCTTTTCTTCCAATAGGAGCTGCCATTCAAACATATTTCCAGAGGATTACAAATGCTTAATGATGAATTCTAGCCTGGGAGACCTAGATGCTACTCAGAACTATCATGAATATAACAATATCAGTGACTCATATGAGTATGAAAAAAAGACTGTTTTAGGACAGAATGTTTGGCTAGGCCTTATTTTAATTATCTGTTGTATTGGATTGGTGGGCAATGCCTACATCATCTGGCTACTTGGCTTCCAGATTAAGAGAAACTGTTTCACCACATTCATCCTTAACTTGGCCGTTGCAGACTTCGGGTTTGTCACATGTGCATTTATACATCATATCCATCCCTTTATCAATTTTATACAATACAACATTTCCTACTACGTCTTTAACTATTTCACCCGAGTGATGCTCATCAATGCAAATTTTCTTCTGGCGGCCATCAGCATTGACCGGTGTGTGGCTATCCTCTTCCCAATCTGGCATCGCTGCTCCCGTCCAAAACATTTATCTTCTGTTGTCTGTGCTATCCTCTGGATTTCCTGTTTCCTCCTGAGTGGAATTATCAGTGTTATCGAAATCTTTCTAAAACACCCAATGCTCCTTCTCCATTTCCTTCTGATTGCTATAATTTGCCTTCCATTGATCACATTCTCTACTGTGGTCCTTTTCATCAAAGTGTGCCTTAAACCAAAACAGAAAAATAAGGGTCGGCTTTTACTGATGATTTTAATTACTCTTCTCTGTTTCCTCATCCTGGCTTTTCCATTATGTATCTTTGGGATGATTATTAGCTTTTCAAATACCAACTTTGACAATCGACTGTACCATTGGCTTCACTGTACTGCACTGTTTTCCTGCCTAAACAGCAGTATTAACCCAGTGATCTACCTTCTAGTTGGCAGGAAAAAAGGAGCTCAGTCCAAGGAGAGCATGAAGGTCATTTTGCAAAAGGTCTTCAAAGAAGGTGAAGCTACTAGAGAGAGATAGAAGAGCTCAAACTCACTTAAAAGACCTCTGTTCTTCCTTCTGAGTAGCAATGAATAACTTGCACTTGAAGCTGTCATCTTATAGGTGGGACTGAATCTCTTTCAACATATTGGCTGTTTCATCTGAATGGACCTATAGAGAATTGTAAGAGATGTCCACATCACACAAGCAATGCGGTGTAGGACATGAACTGCGTGGCATTTATAAAATACTCAGCACATTTTGCTTTCTAGCAATAAGATTGTTAGTAATGCAGGGGAAGCACCAACCTCACCCCTTGCTTCCAGATGTTACCTAAAGACAGTTAATGCATGAGATGAAGCAACAATAAGAAAAAAAATATGATAGAACCAGTCAGAAACCAGTTCAAATTGAGTAATGAATGTTAAGACTTTAAACTGTTGCTAAAAGGGGGAAAGAACAAGAGAGAAAGTTTTGAAGCACATTCCGGAAGGGAAAAAGAGGCCACAGACAAAATCTCAAATTCCCAGGTCAGTAAGAAAGGATGGAAAGATGTTTAGTTAAGCAGGGAAGCAGCTACAGGTGGGTACAAAAAGATCTTAGCAATTCTACAAATCTGTAGAGAAAGTCTTCTCTTTTGGGGTCCTTGGGGGTCTTTGAGCTTTATTGTTTGCAGACATTTAGTTCCCTGACTAGGTAACATCATCAGTGCTAAAAGGGAATGAGATTTGGTCTTTGCTTATATACAATGGCTTGCAAAGTTGGGGAGAGTGCTGTTTTTCCCTTGGTTGATTAGACTGCTATTTACCATTTGATTGTTTTTCTGAGTTTGTAGTTCCTGGAGTAGGGTGTTTTCAAAAGATTCACAACAGAGCATGCCAAAAAGGAATATTTAAAATATGTTTTCAAAGAGGGCCTAAATGCTTACAGATACTGCAGATCGGTAGACACACAAAAACAAACGAAGTGAGAAAGCAGAGCCTTTTCTATTTTGTTGTTATTCCCTTGTTTTTGTTTCCTTTTTCCTTTTCTGCATAAACTGCAAGCAGCAATATTGTTAAGACCTCAGAATAAAGTATTAAGCTTAAGCTAGAATTGTTATTATTTTGATAACCTTTTTATTATTTTTCGGTAGTCTATTAATGCCATGTTTAGCTTTAGATGTAAAATTTAAATAACCTTAAAATGGTATATGTGCTAGTCGTTCCCGACTCTAGGGGGTGGTGCTCATCTCTGTTTCAAAGCCAAAGAGCCAGCGCTGTCCGAAGATGTCTCAGATGTGGCTGGCATGACTAAAGGCAGAAGGTACATGGAACGCTGTTACCTTCCCACCAAAGTGGTCCCTATTTTTCTACTTGCATTTTTATATGTTTTCGAACTGCTAAATTGGCAGAAGCAGGAACAAGTAATGGGAGCTCATTCCATTACACGGTGCTAGGAATTCAAACCACTGAACTGCCAACCTTTCTAATCCACAAGCTTAGCCACTGAGTTTCCGCGTCCCTTATGCTTATCACAAAAAAAAAACCTTATGCTCATTAGCAAAAACTTTAGTTCACAATCAATACTGATGTAAACCTTTTTCTTTGTCTTTTAATGTCTAAGTTATCTAAACAACAGAATGTTAATAATCTTCAG